ATATTTAGAGTTGCAGACAAAATGACAATGGACCTGAGTTTTCACTACATGTTTAAACAAGGACTGTTTATTAAGGACCTAAAAAAATGTTCAAGTAACTTTTTCCTTCATTATATTTTATCTTCATCCATCTGTGCACCAGAGCCTAGCTAGGATTAGAAGTACAGAGGACAACATAATATAGAAAGGCGGCTGGCTCATTCTCTTGGAGTCTGTTCCAAGAGTGACAAGGAAATCCAATTAAAAATCTTCTTTTGTGATATTACCAAATCAGTTTTGAATTTTGAATAGGATAATCACCAAATTTGGCTTAACTAAACAAACTGAGTCAAACTTTTAAACATTTCAAGTATATATAAAGTCAATTAAAACTGAAAATGCAGTTTTTCATGAGAATATTATTTACATTCCCATTTGGGGTATGTATATGAAAAATATTATAGTGTTGCCATGGTTCTTTTCCTAAAAATTCTTAATTAAAATCCCTTTTTGTCACTGACACTATTACCTAGGATAGATTATAGGGATTCCAGAGAATATTTTGTTTCTTCAATGTGCACCGTTTGACTCTGAATTATTCCTTTTTATATCTGTTTTATGTTAATAGGAAAATCAATCATTAATCACCAATGTAAACTGGACTACTAGGACCTGAAGGGGCCTGGAGAGGTCTGTCAAGTCCAGTTCCCAGCCCTCATGGTAGGACCCACAATCATCAGATCATCCCTGATAGATGTTTATATAACCTGCTCTTAAATATCTCCAATGACGGAGATTCCACAACCTCCCTAGGCAATTTATTCCAGTGTTTAATCACCCTGACAGTTACAAAGTTTTTCTAATGTCCAGCCTAAACTTCAATTTAAGCCCATTACCTCTTGTCCTATCATCAGAGGCCAAAGAGAAAAGTTTTTAACCCTCCTAAATCTCCTAAATCTCTGTTTATTATTCAGTTTCCCTAATCTCTGTTTACCCATTGTAAATTCCTTTGGGAATAATTGTTCCATGAATGCTGGGGAAATTACCCACCTTATGGATGCCACCATTATTAACAACAATTGAATACCATGTCTCTGCAAGAGCAAAAATGTGTCTGATTTTAAAGAAGCTCCAGATGTTTTTACACATGTACAGATGAATTGTTCCAATATTTTTTATGCTGACTCCCAGTTTTTGTACCTCTTTATTTAGAGTACTGCATCAGTAAGCAATCGGAGTTGTGGTAACCACTCATAAGTCTCCAATTTTGGGGGATCATGGGAAGATCAACCTGGGACAATATGTCAGAGGGCTGAGGACTTGCATAAAATATGAAAACAAATTCAGAACAGAACAATAGAAGCTGTACCAAGCAGCTGTCCCAGGCAGAAAGTTTTAAAATTATTTACTTCAGACTTTGACCTTCTATATTATTCTTGAAAGTAGGGAGGAAAGGAGGAATTTGTGGGTGTGAAACTCCCTTTGTGACTATGTACAAATTTTCTAATAATTCATTGGATGAAAGGATAGACTAATAGCACAATGTGGTTATATGGTCACTTGGGAAGCTAGCATAAGCATTCTGGTAATTATTACATTGCTTATTTATGGTGTAATTCCTTATATTAATATATTTAGTTGTTCACAATGTAATATAATTAACTGAAATCAATGAAGATACTCCCGGAAAAAAAAGTAGTGCCAGGACATTTTTTCAGGCACAAGCTGCTAAATCAGAATCAATCTCTGTGGTGGGAGGACAATGAATCCCTTCAGATATTACATCACTGAAAAAAAAGATTGCAGAACTAGATTAAGGCCTACAAAAGTGACACAATCATCATAGAATAACCTCATTTCCTTTTCAAATGGTGTATGTTTGAGGGCACAATGTTCAAGTGATCACATACAATGGACACCTATTTCCAGGAAGATACAAATCCTGTTGCACTGTTACATTTGGTAACAATAATATTAAAGTGTTATTATTAAAAGAGTGAAACCAGCTGAAAGGTTTACGTACTTCTTTAACATGAAGAAAATCTTTTGCTTCAAATGAGATGGCCATGCCTGGAACTGGGACGTCATCATCATGTCCTGCACTATAGCCGACATTTGTCCGGACTGCAAATGCAACAGGTTTTGTCTGCAAGGCAAAAAGTAAACAGATTTTGAAAAATTTCTCTCTCGTACCTATCGAGTCAGATATAGATATACTGATATATACTTCCTGGAAGTCTTGCATCAAGTTACCTACCTAACATTCTTCTAATTAACATAGCAAACCTATATGCCATAAAACTTGCCACATGCCACATCCCTATGGTGAGAAAAACACCTCAGCAGCCTGACACTGACATTTAATTTCAGAAATGGGAACTACACAAAAATGAAAAGGTTAGTTAAACAGAAATTAAAAGGTACAGTGACAAAAATAAAATCCCTGCATGCTTCATGGAGACTTTTCAAAAACACTATAATAGAGGTCCAACTTAAATGTATACCCCAAATTAAAAAACAATAAGAGAACCAAAAAACTTCCACCGTGGCTTAACAACGAAGTAAAAGAAGAATTAAAAAGGCATCATTAAAAAGTGGAAGTCAAATCCTAGTGAGGAAAATAGAAAGGAGCATAAACTCTGTCAAATTAAGTGTAAAAATATAATAAGAAAAGCCAAAAAGGAGTTTAAAGAACAGCTAGCCAAAAACTTAAAAAACATTTTGCTATTAGTTTTTAAGTACATCAGAAGCAGGAAGCCTGCTTAAGAACCTATGGGGCCACTGGACAATCGAGATGCTAAAGGAGCTCTCAAAGACAATAAGGTTATTGCGGAGGAACTAAATGAATTCTTTGCTTCGGTCTTCACAGCTCAGAATATGAAGGAGATTTCCAAACTTGAGCCAAATTACTCTACCTTTAACATTTCTGTCCCAAATCTGAGTCATTCTTTTTAGGTGACAAATCTGAGGAATTGTCCCAGACTGAGGTGTCATTAGAAAAGGTTTCAAAACAAATTGATAAAGTTAACAGAAACAAGTCACCAGGACCAGATGGCATTCACCCAAGTGTTCTGAAAGAACTCAAATGTGAAATTGTGGAACTATTAACTGTGGTTTATAACATATCCTTTAAATCAGCTTTTGTACCTAATGACTGGAAGATGGCTAATGTGACACCAACATATAAAAAAGGGCTCTACAGGTGATCCTGGCAATAATAGACCGGTAAGACTAACATCAGTACCGGGCAAATAAGTTGAAACTATAGCAAAAAAAAACAACTGTCAGACACATAGATGAACATAATTTCTTGGGGAAAGTCAACATGGTTTCTATAAAGGGAAATCATGCTTTATTAATCTACTAGAGTTCTTTGAGGGGGTCAACAGACATGTGGACAAGGGGGATTCAGGGGACATGGTGTACTTAGATTTCCAGAAAGCTTTTGACAAGGTTCCTCACCAAAGGCTCTTAAGTAAAGTAAGTTGTCATGGGTTAAGAGGGAAGGTTCTCTCATAGACTGATAACTGGTTAAAAGACCGGAAATAAATTATAGGTTTTCTGTACTGGGTCCAATCGTACTCAACCGATTTATAAATGATCTGGAGAAAGGGGGTAAATAGTGAGGTGGCAAAATTTGCAGATGATACTAAACTTCTCAAGATAGTTAAAACTAAAGCAGACTGTTAAGACCTTAAAAAAGATCACACCAAACTAAGTGATTGGGCAACAAAATGGCAAATGAAATTTAATGTTGATAAATGTAAAGTAATGCACACTGGAAAAAATAATCCCAACTATACATACAATGTGATGGGACTAATTTAGCTATAACTACGCAAGTAATCTTGGAGTCATTGTGGATTGTTCTCTGAAAACATCCACTCAGTGTGCAGCGGCAGTCAAAAAAGCAAACAGAATGTTAGGAATCATTAAAAAAGTTGTAGTCACCTCATCTCAAAAAAGATATATTGGTATTGGAAATGGTTCAGAGAAGGGCAACAAAAATAATTAGGAACGTGAGCCATCTGAACAAAGATTACAGAAACTGAAATTTTTCAGCTTAGAAAAGAGAAGACTGGGGTGGCAGGTGGGAATGATAGACATCTAGAAAATCATGCCGTGTGTGGAAAATTATTTACTTGTTCCCATAATGTAAGAACTAGGGGTCACCAAATGAAATTAATAGGTAGCAAGTTTAAAACAAATATAAATAAGTTTTTCTTTACACAGCGCAGTCATCCTATGGAACTCCTTTCCAGAGGATGTGGTGAAGGCTAGGACTTTAAACAGGGTTCAAAAAAGAGCTAGATAGGTTCATGGAGGTTAGGTCCATCAGTGGCTGCTAGACAGGATGCGTAGGAAGGGTGACAAGAGAGGGATCACTTGATGATTCTCTGTTCTGTTCACTCCCTCTGGGGCATCTGGCAATGGCCACTGCTGGAAGACAGGAATACTGGTCTAGCTGTAAATGGTCTCACCCAGTATGGCCGTTGTTATGTTCTTATGTATAACTTCTAAATTATAAGCCCTGTTTTATTCTAAAATTGTTCACAATGTGAAGATAACATGTATATTCTAACTAGTTCACTAGAAAAATAGTGGACAGTTTCAAAGCAACAGAATCATCATATATATAGTAGCCCAGTGTCTGAGTCTGTAATGCCAAAATGCTGGCTGTTCCCACTGGGG